AGGAAAACAACAGACACCACCAAAATCAGGACGGACATCCATTGTAAGTTCTCAAGTCCATATATTGCATGACCGGGACGATTGTTGGTGAAATGAATGTTCTGTATTTTTGGGACCTCGTTTAGCACTTCTCGCAGCGATCTGTTGGATTGGTGTTCACGTGTCACAAACACTTTCAGTTGTAGATAATGTTGTTCTGCATCGAAAACATGTGGTAGAACTGGATCTAACAAGCAGATGCCTTGGGAGTCTTTTGTAGTGTAGACAAGCTGTATTTTTACAGGTAATACATTTTTGCTACTTCTTGTAGAGGCAATTTCTTGCAGAATGCTCAAAAATGGTGTAACCCCTATTCCACCCGCAACTAGAAGTAGACTATCGTATCTGCGGAAGATTCAACAAGTAATTATATATGGGAAAAGATGAAAACTCGATTTACAAACGTGGAAGAACATCATTTTGTTACCTCAGAAAGTCCATTGATGAAGGTCCATAAGGGCCTTCTGTTGCTACTTGAAAGAACCTCATTTCACCAGCTTCTGAATCAGGCTTTGAATGTAGCATATTACAGAGAGTGCTTGTCCACCTTCCCTCAGCTTTGATCAAAATAGAGATGGTGTGTTTATCTACTTTCGAGCTAGAAGTTATGCTAAAAGGGTGCCATTGAAAATTCGAAATCCTTGGAATCTTGATAAAAATCACGCTTGTTGGTGCATATGTCAACCCTGAAATTGTGTGTTAAGTACGTGATTATTTAGGACCACGAAAGCATATCAGTAGCTTTTTAAAATTGGAAAGAGATTACTGATATTGTACTTGGATCTTTTGGCAGAGTCAACTCAATGGCTTTGGAAGGAAAGATTCGAGCAGAAAGAATATACGTTTCTGGCCTTGACTGAATCATTCGGAGTATCTTGTCAAGGCAAAACAAAAAAAAGCCAGGCAAAACCATGTAGAAGTGGCGATCTCCAGTATGAAACAGGAAAAAAACCAAGAAAACCATATACAAGTGATGTGTGTAATAGAAGATCTCGAATCGTTTCCTTCTTATCTGTGGGAGTGATGTGATCCAGATGACCAATCCTGTAAGAAGAGTGATCTCCCCCGCAAGGTAAATACGCCCTGTCTTTTGCCATCTCCACATCTATTTTTTTTCTCCATATAAAACAAAGACTTAGATAGTAAGTAGCAAAGCATAGACACATATGTTCGAACTAAATTGAAAAAATGAAGTAATGGTCAAAATGATCACATAAGGTTACCTCATCTCCAAGGTGATGTTTGATACCCCATATTAGTAAAGTACCTCCACCATGTAATGTACCAAATAATATCATTGCTGTCCCAAGCCATACGTGATATCTCACCGAAGCTTCAAATTGGATGCCAAGTATTCGAAATACTGACATTCCCCTCAAGATGGGAAGAAGAAGAAGAGCTAAGCAAGCTTCTGCTAATAAACCACTCCTAGTTGCCACTCTAAATACTCTGTATTGCCATCTGTAAACAAACGCGTTTGTAAGTATTACCAAATGATATACATATCATATCTTGCATGGAATATAGGATTATATATACTTACACAGACAAAGTGAATGATTTCATTGGTACCATCTTCTTGAAGTCATTGGAGATGCGAACATAGAATGTCCATGCTAGAAAGATGACGAATAGACATACAGCAAGGATTTCAAAACCAGACAGAATGCCTATGTACTTATTCACAACTACTGGATTGGAGAGAACAGATAGTGAAGACCGTCCTTTCCTGTCAACCAAATTCCGCAGAGGTAAGGTTTGCATACACTCTACTCTACCTATGTTGTTGTTGTAATGCTTCTATTAAAGCAGCATACATACCTGCTGATTGGTTCCTTCTGTTTCAGTGCCAAGTAAACAAAACCAACTATAGCTATAGCAATAACAGGAAAGGTATAGACCGCAAAATTAAGACCTGCAAGACCTCAAAAGAAGAAAAAATGTCATTAAATTAACACTTCTAGTACATGAACATCTCAATCAATTTGAGTTCTGAAATTAGAACTTCACCAGATTGGGTTAAGAATGAGGCTGATGCCTTTTTTTCTGCTAACTTCCAAGTTTTAGTCCATAGTTGTGTGGGCTTGAGAAGCCAAACAGATAGCCATCCAGCAAATATCAAGAAAAGTAGCAATTTAAGGAGAGAGGAAATTTTAGTCATGTTTTAAGAAGAGCTGACTTATGTGCTTAGAATATAACGAATTTTGTGTCTATATAAAGTACATCGGTCATTTGGTTGGTGAGACTGAAAAAGTAATTCAGAAAATAATAATAAATCCAACAATATCTCACATAAAGTAATAATTAAATTGAGCTTTGTTTGGATGGTTGATAAAGATTGTTTCATGTATCCTACATTCCTACTGTACAATAGGGTATAATATAATTTTTTTGCAGAGAGGGTAAGGGTGTCCTAGATCCGCCCCTATACATAATGTTACACTTCAACAATTTGAAAAATGAATCCAAAAAAAATTTAGGTACGGAGTAGAGCAATAAAAAAGGTAAATCTAATATTTCAGAATTAGATTTTATAAAATAGTGAATGGAGAGAGTAATTAATCAATGTATGAAGTACTCCCATGAATATTAATTACTTATTTGTTTTTCTAGGTTGGTCAAAATATATATTTTCAAGACTACTTAACTACTCTATCAAGGGTATAATAGGAAAAATATGGTAATTTATGCATCGATTTTATGAAATGACAAATATTATGGTCCAATTATTTATAAAAAATGATACATATAAAAAGTAACGGAGAGAGTATATATTAGCATTTTAAGTAAGATAGAATGCAAAATAACATAAACTTCAAATACAAAAGTAGCAACCAAACAATATACTATCAACTTCCCAGTAACATTTTCAACTTAAACTCCAAATACTACTTCTTTCTCTTCTTTTTTTTCAAATTTCAATCAATATCAGAATTAGCTAGAAACAATGTATCTATTGCTCCATTCTTAATCGAATAATAGAAAGAAAGAGAAATTACTGTTGCACGCTGCACAATCCATCAATTTTAGAATCAATTATTCCATAATAACCAGTTAAGACTGAGATTAATGGTTATGGATAATGATGCCATCAACTTATGACATTTGTGATGGCTTTCAGCATGGGAATATATCTTTGTTGAGTGGATGTTATTATCAGCACATCCATTCATTACAGAAGAAGAAATTTGCAGTAGTAGTGGATACATGGTCCACTCCACGGTCCAACCCCACTATTGCTACAGCTTTTGTTATCTGCTTTGTCCGCAACGATCAAGATCCAACAAGATACTCTAATCTAGCTGGTTGACTATAACTCACTTATTGCAGTAGCGGATCTAGGGCTTTTGGGTGGGAGTTTTCGGGAACCCAGTAACTTTTGCAGAGATCGAGTATTTATAATGAGAAATCTATTAAATATATAAAAAAAATATGTGTTGGGAATCTAGTGGGCGAAATGGAACTCACTTAAGTTTTGCTGCCCTCCCTTTTGGCAACTTATAACAATTTCGATATCTAGAAATTCATAAATTTTGAATTTTGAATCCTTTTGTGATTTATTCAGTGAAATGATAGACGACGGGGTTGCAACTTGCAACTGGCAAAGATCATGTTAACAAGACAGAACAGTGAGCTACTGATTTTTGCTTCTAGTTGCGCCAGCACAAAGAATTATCTTTTATGATGTCAGTTACTAAAGAATATACTACAAGTGGATGGTTCTAACGAAAACGTGGTTGGTTAGATAACCCATAAACTATGTTATAGTACTTTGTGATCATTCATATGTTTAAAAAAATCAGTTAGCGTGACATTTGCACCAAAATATGTCTCTCTGCGTATCTAAAAGTGCTTCAACAGAATACTTTAGTGGAAACTCAGATGAATAAGACTAGCAATTTGGAAAGTAGATGAACAATAGCTATAAAAGTGTATATATATATATATATATGCCAAGTGGTTGCTGAAGACAGCATTTGGAGATGTACTTGTTGAATAACACTGGTGATTACTTTTTGTTGTATAGTTTAAGCACTTTCGTAGTTTGATATTCTGGTGTCTTAAACGTGGAGGAGCCACACTAATCCATCTTGAATTTAGTGGTTAAAATCTATTGCAGTGATTCATGGACGTCGATAAGATCTATTCATGGCAATGCCTTAGGATGGGATAGCATTAAAAGTGAAGGCCGAGTTGAGACGAGGAAAGGCTTACAGTTGGAAGAAAGGGGTAACAAGCACACCTAGGGGTGTGCATTCGGTTTTTATGTTTGGATTTTTCGGTTTTTGATTTTGTAAAAGTGTAATCTAATCCGATCCAAAATAAATTTGGTTTGGTTTGGTTTGGTTTTCCTCTATTCGGTTCGGCTTTTTTCGATTTGGTTATTCGGTTATGCAATAATTAATAACACAACCAAAGTAATAATATTTAATCCCTTAAATATACTTTTCTAATATAAATCATAAGTAAAACTTAAACACAATATTTATAAGTATACCTATTATAGATGTAATTCAAACATAAAATATAAACGTAAACAGCATGAAAGACAATAACTAAAAAGGGACAAAAGTGGTTAACTCCAACTTAATTCTAAACCTAAACATTATATATATATATAATTCAGGTTTTTTCGATTTTTATTTTTTAAAACCCAAAACCAAATCAAAAAACCAAACAAAGTAATTTATTAATTCTAAACCAATCCGAAAAACCAAAAAACCAATCCAAATAAAAATTCGGTTTGATTTGGTTTGGTTATTCGATTTAATCCGAATAGTGCACACCCCAGGTGTGAGCACAATTGAGAGTTTTTTACTAGTTTACCAGATCAAAGTTAAAAAGAGAACAACTTGGATGAACAGTAAAAGAAAGATGGGGGTTTAGCAAACGGACAAAATGTTTATGTTTTCCTGTCCTCGGAAAAACCAAGGAAACCATGTGGTCATGTATTAGGAATAGACAAATGGAAATTAGCAAACCAATTTCTAAACCAGAGGGAAGATAAAGCTTCAATTTTTTTCTGATTTTCACACTAATTGATTCCAAATTAAGCATAACCATGGGATTTTGCTTAAAGACCAAATAGTTTCAGGGATACTGCTGTGATCAGAAGATGTTTATGATCTTAATCTATCTAATTAGCCTCGGCTGATATTTTTGTTTCTCAATCTTGTTCCATATAGTACTATTTTTCGGATGTTTTTTTCTGGGATCTTCACACAAATAGCTGGACAGATTTACTGTTTATTTTTTCTAGTTGGTATACATCGTTTATTGATGATTATACACATATTGTACATATATTATACATTTGCTGGCTATTGTTAGTTTAATCATTTGGGTGAACTGCTATATAGGTTAATTCTTAAAAAGTATATGGCATACTGGAATTTTGTGTGCAGAAAAGATCGGTCAAGGGATATCTGAAGTAGATGGCGCGGTTGATTAAGGTATTGTTCTTCAAGCAGAAGATAGACCAGTAAATACAAACTTTGTACCGCTGTTATGAAAATCTTATCAGCATTCATGTTACATAGTACAATCTTGCCTGAGAAATTCGAACTCCCACCACAATTTTCGGCATTTCAAGAGCTTGTTTGAGTTATCTTGCATATGAGAAAGATCATTGTTATGAAATATTTAGTGTGGAAAACATCACTAGCAGGAAAGGAAATCCAAATGGTAGTAACTAGTAAGTACTACCAATTGGCATGCATTTTTAGGACATCATAGTATGGTCCAAAATTACTTTAAAAAGAAACTAGATGATTCAATATATTCCCTCTTATATCGCTATCTGAAGTCGGTCCAAAGGAGAAAAAATAGGAGGGGAAAAGGCATGTTTCACTAGTCACTAGAGAAATAGAAAGCAAAGTTCTCTTCTTTATTTTTAACACAAAAGGCACATATAGAATGTGACATGTCCAGTAAGCCTGCAAATGTTGACAAAAAAGAAAAGAAAAAAAAAGGGACCAAACTTTTTCCTTACTTTGTGTCTTCGATAGCGATGACTTTGCTTCTTTACCTCATATTCAGTTAATTCCATATGCTTTTAATATTTGTTTCCTTCTTCTATTTCTACTCCCTTTTTATTAAGTCCACATTGTTTATCTTTACACCCAGTCCCCACTAAACCATTTGCTTTTTCCCTTTTTGGACTGGTAGAGATGAGGGACTGAGAGTAAAATTCACTACTTGCATTATTGAGAAAGAGATGTCTTGGGAAATCGAAGAGATCGGAGAAGATAGCAAGAGTGAAGTGATTGGCAACAACAAAGATGGAGGAGTGATCAATGATGTTTATGTAGCAGTTGGCAAGAATGACATGTATGTTCTTCAATGGGCACTTGATCATGCCATCTCTCCGGGAATTCGCGTTTGCCTTGTGCATATTTTTCCTCCCATTACCTACATCCCTTCACCAGGTAACTTTTATTTGTCATTTTTAATTTTATGAATTTGATGCTTCTTCCAAAACAGCCGCGCAAATATAGAAAAACAGTGGTATTGTTCCCTGCTGTGTCTTTAGTTTTTTTCCTGATTAGTGCAAAGGCCTTCATAGCAAATCATATTTTGACTTGTGATCAATCCATAGATACCAATAGAAAATAAATAGGCACTCAAAGCAAATACATATTCGAGAATCTTAGAACGATGTATTCAAGAAAACAGGGGAATGTCAAGTTAGGATGATCAATAAATCAAGCAAAATAGGAAATTCAAGATCATGAACAGTATTTTCAATCACATGAATGCGAAATTTAACGTTCTGTTACAAAAATAAACATTAATTTGAATCGGAAATAAAGCCTTAAAACCCTAAACAGACCCTTAGCTAAATTGTGATAATAGGTCGATACCCTAAAAGATGCAAGGCAATCAAATAGTGCTAGGTTCGTTTAGACATGATCTGAAATTAGATTGATTTGAAGTTCAAATTTTGAACATGCAATTTGGATTTTTAAAATTGTACTTTTCTCATAAACATGAAAACCCTCAAGTTGTGAAAACTATCAAAATTTCTCTAATTCTTATACAATCTTACCCAATGAGCAAATCATACTTTATAAATAAGATATCAGAATATCCTAAATCACCACATTGATAAATCGCATATTTCCATGTTTCTTTTATAAATAAATGTATGTAATCACAAACTTGAAATCATGATCCCGAATCCATGTCCAAACGCCTAATTATTGATGAATACGCCTAATTTCTCTCAAGGTGAGCCAACCTAAAATCTGGTGCTTCTAACCTTGTAGTAGTAGCTTACGACAAAACTAAAAAGCTGCCTACCTTGACAAGAAGCATAACTTATGGTTGGGACAATGTATCTGGTCTTTTTGTCAATGAAGTGGTTAGGTGAGAGTAAATAATTTTTTTGCACATTGCATCATCTGTATTCCAATTATGGTTCTTGAACAAATTTTAGCCAAAAAGGGGGAAATTTAATCAAGTAAAAGCCAAAAATAACAGAGGACCTGCTGACCAACTTGTTTAACAAATTGAATTTTGTATTGAAAGTTGGCAAGTTATCAAGTAGCCAACTGACCAGAGAGCAGGTGCAAGCTTACATCAATGAAGAGAGCAACAGGCGGAAGAATCTCTTGGAAAAATACATCCGCCTATGCAATGATGCCAGAGTGAGTTACATTATTTGCAAAATCCCCAATTGCCCGATTTAGGGGTTAATTTTTCATATGGTCAATCAACTAATAGTTATTATCTGAGAAATCAACTGTCAAATTCAGAGTTTGACATTTTATAATTGGGGATTGCAGGTACCAGTAGATACTGTACTTGTGGAGAGCAAATCACCTGGCAAAGCATTACTTGATCTAATCTCTGTTGTCAATGTTACCAGCCTCATTATTGGAACTAGACGATCACTTTCCACCATGTAAACATCCTTCTCTGTTACACCTCAATTTGATTAATTTGCAATAACTGCGAGTAGAGGTAGAGCCACATACACTAAGGCTGATCAATTGAATACCCTTCGTCCAAAAACAAAATTACTTTTCGTTTTGAACATTCTTAGTGAATTATTATTTATATTTGTTTCAGACGAGTGATGAAGGGACATGGAATTGGAGAATATGTTCAAAAGAATGCACCGGCTTCCTGTCAGGTTAACGTCGTTGGTGAAGAAGGCAAAAAGATTAAGAAGAGTGAAGTGGTGCAGCTAAAAGGCAATTATTCCAATTCTCCTTCACTTGTGCATAGCCGGAGTCAGCCGGAGATTGCTAAACAATCTAACAGGAATTTATTTGAATGGATGTGTTTTTCTCCCAAGTTCCATGGAGACTTTGGAAGTAAATAAAAGAACACAGAGACGAATTCAACCTATTAACAATTTCTTACCTATGGAGAGTTGAACTTAATCCGTAACTAATGGAGTACTACTATATCAAATTTGGCTTTCTGTTTTTTTCTCAAATCTTATTGACAATATTTTTTCTATTTCCAAAAGTTCTAACCCAAGACATCTAGCTAAAGTTAAAGAATTTCGAATCATCCCCTTGCAACGGTTAGCACATGGTTATATTCCTTAAGAATTGGATGCCACAAGGCTGCTCTCTACATTTGCAACCACTTTTGATTATTTATATCATTTAACATTTTTCACATAGACTCTTATTATCTATTAATAATAATTATTATTATTTGGTCAATTAAAATCGAGAACTATCACAAATGGCGGCCTCATTAATTTACTTGTATTTCAACAACACGACTGACTGAACGAATAGACATGTGCTAGTCTGCTAGACTTAGTACTTCACATTTAGTATATCGTAATCAAATTTATACAACACATAACACAATGTTAATGACCACACTTCTCACCAAAGAATTAAATACTCTATAAAGTTCTTCTTTTTGTTGCAGTAAATTATATAATGGTACCAAAAAGCATTCTGACAATTTGAAAAGAAAATAAAAATGTAATGATTTTATCGTGCCCAATAATCAATCAAAAGGTTGTTTTTAATTATTCGATAAAAAGGTCAAAACTATTCTTATATAAAATAAAATAACTTTGTCATATGTCTTGTTTAAAATAGCTGTTAGTCAAGTAAATAAAAAATATACTTCCACAAGTTTACTAGCTCAAAAATATTTTTTTCATTAATGAGCCTTCTAGAACAGGGATAAAAGTCAATTTTGATTTTCAACTACTCAAAAATGGTACAATTTTGTCCTTGTTTAGTGTTTGAAATAAGCGTTCTTAAATATAAAAAAAAATGAGCAATAACTCATGGAAAATTATGGGACTACTTTGACTATTTTAAATGACAAAACTAATAAAGTATTAATTTTATGTAATATAAAATTTAATTATCACTTATAAGTGGCAATTATATTAATTAAAAATAGGAAAAATTAGAGAAATCCCACATTTTAGTTTACTTATTACCATTATCCCCTATAAGTTTTACAAATCTACAAAATTCCTCATTTTCGCGCATTAGATTAGTGTATCTCGCGCATCAAATTAATGTATCAGCGCTTATATTATTGTATCTTGCGCATCAGATTAGTGTATCTCACGCATCAGATTAATGCATCAATGCTTATATTATTGTATCTCGCGCATCAGATTAGTGTATCATGTATAAAATGTA